TCATCTTGTATTAGAAGTAGTTAAGTATTATTTAATAGGTAATTAGATAGTAGTCGTGTCATCATCTTGATTGAAGTGTTAAGTATTATTAATAGAATTAGATAGTGTCAGTGCATCATCTTGATTGAAGTGTTTAAGATTATTAATAGAATTGATAGTGTCAGTGCATCATCTTGATTGAAGTGTTTAAGATTATTAATAGAATTGATAGTGTCAGTGCATCATCTTGATTCAAGTGTTTAAGAGTATTAATAGAATTGATAGTGTCGGTGCATCATCTTTCTTATTTAGTGGTGAGAAATAAAAGACAAGGGAACACAAATATAGGGTGAAACCTCATTAGTGCTAATGTAAACAATCTTGGTGATTTTTCTTGTAGACAAATCTTCACAATTGGAAGTTTGGCCAGTAATCTTTACGTTCCTGTTCCAAATCTGAACAGCTTCTTATAACAAACACTTTCTTTCTTTTACATACATCATCTAGTGATCTGTACGTGACTCCGCAAGTGAAGTAAGGGTCCCGAGAGTGAAGTAGGGGTCACTGAGAACAGTAAATAAAGTTATAATTACTGACCATAAATATTCTTAATGGTAGGGATGTACATATAAACTATAACAGACATTGAGAGGTCACCCAATGGTTTACGCTACAGTCATGTCAAGGCATAGTGCTCCGTAACGCGATATTTATTAAAACGGCTAAGAAGCTTCAAAATAAAAATTTTAAAAATCAGCTTAAAAGCAAACTGTGATTATATTCTTCTTTTGAAAGTGATTTGTTGTACATTTGACCGATACTGATTATTTTGATCATTCAAATTGTATAATTATCATTGACGTGTAAAATAACAAGTGTATTGAACAATCAGTTGTTTTTACCAGTTGCATGTCCAACTTTACATTTATCCATCAATAACTCATGCTATTAATAGAGTGTTCATTGTGACTGATTTGATTATCTATATTTATTGATAATCTGGAAGATCTGATTCATAACAAATGTGTTTGGGTTAACGAAGGGGTTGAAGTTAGCTAAGATTTTTCTGACAGGATGGTTAAACTCTGGAATGGGTTGACTTCAGATGTGGTAGATTTAGTTAATTGAAGGGAGTTCAAGGGAAAGCTTGATAAATATTCAAATGAAATTTGAAATTTTTTAGTGTCAATAAGCATTGCAGTGGTGGGTCCACGGAGTAGAGCTAACAGAATTCCTAGGTTTTCTGGAATTCCCTACTAGCGTAGTACGATATATAATATTTGTAATTATTAACTTCATCGAGGATAAACATTTCATGTTCAAAAGGTACTGTAGTGCACTATTTTAAATCTAAAATTCAAAAAGTTCTAGGAAAATATGCCCCTGAATTCACCATCATATTCCGCTGATGGTTTCTTCTTGTTTTTTGAAACAACAACCTGTTCTTATTTCTAAATGGTACCCCCCCCTGGCATTTATATACTGAGTATGTAGTGAAATGTAAAAAAATATGTCATTGGTTTTGTATGTGTTAAATATGTTTTAGAATTCACCAACTAGAGTCAAACACTAAAAAACTACTTATTAGGGCAAGTCAGGCTAATGTCATTGTTACCTGTAAGGGTTGACAACAGCATGGGTAGAGTTTTAACATGGAATTTTATACTTGGTCCTTTTCCGAGTTTCTTTGGTGATTTTACACTACTTTATGTATGTACTTAGATTATACTAGAGGTTAACATTTCATGACTATATCATGTACGTTTTGAAACAGACGTGTGCATTGTTTTTTTTTCATGCATCAGTTGTAATCTGTATGTCATTACTCATTTAGTTTCACTAGTTTCAGAAATGAGGTTAACATTTCATGACTATATCATGTACGTTTTGAAACAGACGTGTGCATTGTTTTTTCATGCATCACTTGTAATCTGTATGTCATTACTCATTTAGTTTCACTAGTTTCGTAAATTAGGTTAACATTTCATGACTATATCATGTACGTTTTGAAACAGACGTGTGCATTGTTTTTTTTTCATGATTCTGTTGTAATCTGTATGTCATTACTCATTTAGTTTCACTAGTTTCGTAAATGAGGTTAACATTTCATGACCATATCATGTACGTTTTGAAACAGACGTGTGCATTGTTTTTTTTCATGCATCAGTTGTAATCTGTATGTCATTACTCATTTAGTTTCACTAGTTTTGTAAATATGCACATTTACATAACTGCTATAGAAACATGATTTTATCCTCATTATAATCGTGTCAGGTGTTACATTGAATACGATTATCTTCTACTAAAAATCTGCCGATTTTAATGTTGTTGGTGTTACGATAATCTGTACATTAAATGAAGATATTATTCCTGTGAAATAATGTCTTGTGATAGTTCTTCTGTACGGGTGTTAGGACTTTTGATTCAAGAGTTTATGACCCAGGAAACATGGCAGTTTATGTTACATCTCAACAGTCCCTTCTTGATGATGTCTCTCCACTAACTTCATACATTTTTTGGAACCATATTTTTGTGCAGACTGTTGCTTTTATCTCTGTCAAATATTTTGATTACCAAGAGATATCAGTTTCACAGATGTTTAATGACAGTTTAATTTTTTTGAAATAATATTTTTGTAATAGTAGTAGTTTGTAGAAATAGTTACCATAGCTTAGAATTTCATTGCGATGTTTACAAAATGTACAAGTTGTTGAACATAATTTCAAGTGTTGGATTTCAGTTGTTTCAAATGTTTAATCCAATTTCCAGTTATAATTGAAAAATAAGTTCCTTATTACTGCTCCCTACAGAGAACACTGTATAATAAGTCATCAATTCAGCCCTATTATGTATTAACTCATTGGTTCCCATTAAATCATCAATGGTTATCTGACTTGTGACACAAAAATTTTGATCTTTATTACTAATTGAGCATAAAGAACACCTAAATCTTTTGTTATAGTCAAACAAAACTTTATTGAAACGATAACATGGACAGAAAATACTTGTATTTCAGAAATTAATATAAATGTTAAGGTTTTGTTATTAATCTCCATTATTCATATCTATAATTTCTAAAACAAAGTATTGTATCTTCCTGTTTTTTCTGTCTAATTATTGCCAGATATCCTGAAAGTAACATAATCTAATTGGGTAATAATACATTAAAATTATATGTAGTTTCTTTCGTTATGAACATAGTGATTCTTAATTTACCCTTGTTATTCCCTATTGTTTAAGGATAACCCAATTCAACTTGACAATTATAGATTCTTAAATTACCCTCGTTGTGTCCTATTGTTTAAAGATAACACAATTCAACTTGATAATTATAGATTCTTAAATTACCCTTGTTGTGTCCTATTGTTTAAGGATAACCCAATTCAACTTGACAATTATAGATTCTTAAATTACCCTCGTTGTGTCCTATTGTTTAAAGATAACACAATTCAACTTGATAATTATAGATTCTTAAATTACCCTTGTTGTGTCCTGTTGTTTAAGGATAACCCAATTCAACTTGACAATTATAGATTCTTAAATTACCCTCATTGTGTCTTATTGTTTAAAGATAACCCAATTCAACTTGACAATTATAGATTCTTAAATTACCCTTGTTGTTTCCTATTGTTTAAGGATAACCCAATTCAACTGAACAATTATAGATTCTTAAATTACTCTTGTTGTGTCCTGTTGTTTAAGGATAACCCAATTCAACTTGACAGTTATAGATTCTTAAATTACCCTTGTTGTGTCCTATTGTTTAAGGATAACCCAATTCAACATGACAATTATAGATTCTTAAATTACTCTTGTTGTGTCCTATTGTTTAAGGATAACCCAATTCAACTTGACAGTTATAGATTCTTAAATTACCCTTATTGTATCCTATTGTTTAAGGATAACCCAATTCAACTTGACAACTATAAACTTGTCTTTCTCAGTTCAGTAAGATTATTTAATCAGTATACTTGTGCATAAAGTTATTTGTAGAATTAAGTTTTTTTTAAGTCCCGATTTATTGAGAAACTTTTAAACTATAACCAGCTTAATAATTAAAACAACTTTTTGGAACTGCTGAAAGTACGCTTTCGTGAAACTGAAAATTCAAGAAATCCCTGTTTAGCTACAGGCTGCTAGCAAACATGGCTACAATGTGTGTGGTTGAGCTTATGCTTTCTTTTATGTGTTTTTTTTTTAATTTGTGTAATTCCAGTTACTTCATCGATGGTGAAGTTTGCTACTTAGCCCTGTGTGAGAAGTCATTTTCAAAACGACTAGCCTTTGCTTACTTGGACGACCTTCATAATGAATTCAGTTCCCAGTATGGTAATAGAGTTGCAACTGTATCTCGACCGTATAGCTTCATTGAGTTTGGTTGGTACCTTTAAGTGTCTTAATATATTGTTTAAAAAGTATATAAAATTTAATGTAGTTTTTGCTCGTTGCAAAAATATCCACGAAAGAAAGGTTAAATTCCATGATAAGATTTGTCTTACAACAGTAGAAGATTTCAAACATGTAAAACAAAGGTTTTACAATTTAAAGTTAACCCGAAGAACAGATGAATGTAAGAAGAAATTAAATGAAACCATATGGTTATTTACAAGCATTGTTGTAAAATATTTATTTGTTATTTCTGAAAGAAAGATCACTGATGAGTAAGCACGAACAATATGATCCGGTTCTTAGAACATCACAACTGGATCAGTTAATGGTAAAAGTATTGCAAGATTACGTAGGTTACCACTGAAAATACTGTGATTTATCAGAAATACTTTTCTTTAATGATATATTTCCAATACTTTACACCTAAACATTAAAGTAATGATTTTTTTAAGAATATTTTAGCTAATTGCCGTACGAAATCTTCCTGTGTATAAAACGAAGCTTGGTTATTAATGTCATTTTAGAGCAGTAGCATCAGCTTGTGCTCAGTCAAAACATGTTGCAAACAAATACATATAATTTAATTGTAGTGCTTACGAAATTGTCTATGTTAATTTTTCTATCGCGTGAAATATAAATTATCATACACTGCTTGTCTCCATGTTTAAAAAATAAAACTAAAAAAACTGTTAATCAGTACAGTCAATATTTTACCGATCAGAGGCTTTTGTTACTGAACGCCTGACACAGCAGAATTGTTCAAATTAGTGATTATAATTATAATAACCATGCTTTTGCTCCTGATTTATTGTTTTCCAAAACTCATAACTTCATCCCTCAGATACATATATTCAGAAGTCTAAGAAGTCCTTTATGGTAAAAGTATTGCAAGATTACGTAGGTTACCACTGAAAATACTGTGATTTATCAGAAATACTTTTCTTTAATGATATATTTCCAATACTTTACACCTAAACATTAAAGTAATGATTTTTTTAAGAATATTTTAGCTAATTGCCGTACGAAATCTTCCTGTGTATAAAACGAAGCTTGGTTATTAATGTCATTTTAGAGCAGTAGCATCAGCTTGTGCTCAGTCAAAACATGTTGCAAACAAATACATATAATTTAATTGTAGTGCTTACGAAATTGTCTATGTTAATTTTTCTATCGCGTGAAATATAAATTATCATACACTGCTTGTCTCCATGTTTAAAAAAATAAAACTAAAAAAACTGTTAATCAGTACAGTCAATATTTTACCGATCAGAGGCTTTTGTTACTGAACGCCTGACACAGCAGAATTGTTCAAATTAGTGATTATAATTATAATAACCATGCTTTTGCTCCTGATTTATTGTTTTCCAAAACTCATAACTTCATCCCTCAGATACATATATTCAGAAGTCTAAGAAGTCCTTTATGGATTCTAGAAGTAGAAGGAACCTTTCTACTCTAAACACTGAACTTCAGGATGTACAGAAGATAATGGTTCAGAACATTGATGATGTGTTACAGAGAGGATCTACTTTATCAGGTAAGTTCATGTAGCTGTAACTCCATATATGGATTTGATACCTGTGATTGTTTTCCTAACAGACGTACAGGTTCTCGTATATTTCAGGACAACACAGTAATCAGCCAAGATTGTATTGGTTTAGGCTGTATTTGTATAAATACAGCCTCAACCAATACACATTAGCGTAACAGGTTTTTCACCGACAGCCCCATCATCAATAAACATTTTTTGTGAAGTTTATTGTATAATAAACTTCACAAAAAATATTTATTGATGATGGGGCTGTCGGTGAAAAACCTTTTACGCTAATGGTTATGCTAAGAATGGTTGAGGTAGAAGTAGCATATATTAGTCACGAGAAAATGAAGTTATCAAAAAGACAAAATTTCTAAAGTTCTTGTGAGTGTGTTGTTGCTAATTTCAGTTTTATAGACTATTTAGATCCCCTTGATTTATTACTTTGATTCTAAGCAGACATAAAAGTATTTTTTTCTTAAAACTTGCAGACTATCAATTCACAGATCTGAAGATGTGAGCATTATTTTTTATGCATTTTTGTTTCTTCTCACATTTTAAAACTATTTGATGCTCTTGTAAACAGTATATTCAATTGTAAACAGGCATGAGAAGCAAACAACTTCATAGTTCTGAATGAATAAGCATTAACTTTCTCATTGCTGTATGATTCATTTAAAGTTTTAATTGACAATTGATTTTATTGACTCGAAAGAGAGAGTGATTTACAGAGAGGGTTTGATAAATAAACAAAAGTTTCAGACAGTGTTTTAAACACATTTCCACTCAAGAAAAGAGTTGCTTGCACTTGTAGAATATCAAAGATGCTTTGAGATAATCACACATTAATCATATCTATACTGGTTAAAGTAAAGCATTCCAAAGGTCCGTCCTAGTCTCGTTACTATTTGTTACAGATTTGTGATTTGAGAAATTTTATATGTTGCGAATATTTTCACTTCCAAACATAGAGTGAATTATTATTCTTAAATTTGATTTCTCTCATCGCTACAGTAAAACTAGTGACCCACCATGTGTGATCTAGTGTGGTAGCTTGCTGGGCTGCTGATCAGAAGGTCCAGGGAATGAAGTGCAATATGCACTTTCAGCTGTACAGAGCTATAACATGACACTCAATCCCGCTACTCAATTAAAAGTAACTGTGTTGATGGTGGGACTGCTAACTGGTTACCTTCCCTGTGGTCAGCAGCTCTAAATTAAGAATGACTATTTCTGAAACTTGAGGATCTATGACCTGGCTATTTGATCAAAGTGTTCAAGTTCAATGCCAAAAACTGTGATTTCATGTGGAAATTTTTAAGTGCTATCAGTGACATTTTATCAGAAGGATTGCTAATTTTTTCCCAACATAATTTATGATCTGGCTTACTGCAGGCTAAGCATACATCTCAGCTCTCATGCTGTTGCCATTGTTTATGTTATGTTATTTTTTAATATAATGTAACAAGCTGAGAAATGGAGGCTTTACACGATCACTTGCACAGGATATTATTGACTTAGCCAATAAACTTTAGGTTATTTCAAAGAAAATATTTAAAATAAAAAATAACTTTATTTAATAGTAAAATTTATTTTGCATCATTGAAAGAAATTTTGAGCTCAAGTACTAGCTATGTTAGCAGTATCAGTTTTTGTTGTTGTTTTTCTTTCGTATTCGTGCATTAGTTAAAGATATGTATACTTATTAAAAACCAGTTTTTAACTATTTTGTTTTCAGTTGTAATTGACTAGGTGGAATAATTATGTTTTTTTGAATCATCTAATTCATAACGCTTCTTCTTAAATTTGTTACATCACTTATGCTTGTTATCATTTGGTTTCAAAACCTAAAAAAATATTTTTAGATTGATTCAACTGATTTACAGCTTCCAAGTTTTAGATGTTAGGAGTGAAATATCTAGCACAAACCATGCCAAAATATTATTATACACTTACTCTTATTTTCTCCCTTTTAATAATTGCTAATATAGTTCTATCCTATTGATGCTGTAGTCGTTTGACCCACTCCAGGATCGAAAAGACTGGCTTTCTGGTTTGTCGTTTTTTTTTTCTGAATGATGAGCAGTTTGACTCTATAAAATAATGATCATCGATAATATAATGTAGTGTTACATAATCCTTACTAAAGTTGTGGCGATAAGTGATTTGGCAAGTTTTCAGGAAACATTATAAGTCTTTTGTACAGAAAAAATCAGAATTTCTAACAAAGTATTTTTGCCAATGATTCGATAAAGGAAGATGAGTATTGAGTACTACATGTTGTCTTAATTTATTTTATCAAAAACATTACACTTACAGTAATGTAACAAATTAACAATAACAAAATAGATAGACAGATATTAACGTGTTTTTATTTTACTTCTCTTGCCAGCTGTCAGTTAGTTGATCAAACCTGAGTATTTGAAAAAAGCACTGTAAAGTGTGAAGTACTTAAATAAGACAATGTTAGTAATATTGATAATAAATTACAGACAAGACTATCAAACTTTGTAACAAACCAGTGGTAAAACTTCTGTATCTAGATACGTATCGTATTGCAGCATCAATTATGTATCGTATTGACTACTATGATGAGATACGCACGCCTAGCTCTTACGTGTTGCACCTTAGTGCTTAAGTGTTGTATCATAAATAAACTTAATTCTGTTCAATCTGGACAGTTATTGACAAAACAATTTGCTAATATAAATAGCATCTTTATGTATCATATCCCAGCCGGCCTGAACAGACCAGATTTTGGGCAAAAGGCCTTGCCAGCAATGGATATAGCAGTTATTGTGCGGGCTTTATTTTTGCTGGTAAGCTCTTATTAATAACATGTCTTGAAATTAGTGTCTTTTTGATATTGCATTACCAGGTAGTTGTAGTAGAAACACACTTTAAAGAGAATGTTGTATTCGTGTACAAGTCAGTGTAATGAAATATTGAATGGGAATTTTAGTTTTAGTATCCGCTTTATATTATTAACTTTTCTTCCTCTGCTCAGATGTCAAGCACTCTTTGTATATATGTTAAATATGTTATACTATATGAGGAAGTACAACAAACCCTGCAGATAAAGCACCTTTCAATACACTTACTAAATCTGACTGAATGAGCATTAATGAATATAATTGCTTAACCAGAATGATGTTTCTTGTTTAGACCTCTCATCCATTTAGAAATAGCTAGATGTGGCCTAGTAGTTAGCAGGCACAGACTGAGAATCCCAGGATTCATGGTTTGTACCTCATTCATGCAAAGAGACACTCCACACATTGAGATCGTGGGTGTGCTTTAAGATCATTTCCTCATTCTTTTTTTTGTTATCAGGAATTATAACGCTTTGCCATTTCGTCAAAAAAGAATTTTATTATGCTGGGCTTAAATTGTTATTACTGTTTTATTTTTCCAGACTTAGATACCAAAAGTAGCAACCTAGCAGTGCTTTCCCAAAAATACAAGAAAGATGCCCATTACTTGAACCTACGGTCAACCTATGCTAAAGTTGCTGCAGCTGCCGTCATTGTCTTTGTTTTCTTTATTTATTTCTGGGTTCTGTAAGTGCTCAAATGCCTTACATTTCAGGAAATGTAACTAGAGGAATCATATACATCAACCCTGTACAATATGAACAAACACAGATATTTTACTCTTTATCTAAACATAAATTTGGTGGAGGACAGTAGTTTAAATTTTAAAAAATATACTTAAAAAATATTTCTGATACGTGCCTAAAAATATTTTTAAAATATTCATTTTTTTTTTCAACAAAAAAAAAAATATATATATATATATATATAATCAATAATACTTCATTTAGGCATCATGGCTAATGTTTATATACTAAATATACTTAATTATCAAATATTGAAAGAGAAAAAAAATAGAATTGGAGTCATTTGAATTTTAAGTTATTGTTTTGGGTTTTTTTTTGTTTTCAAAAAATATTAACTATGGCTTAAATAATATTTTGACTCATTTGCTTGTCCAGTTTTTTGGGCAAGCATAAAATTTGACTTACATTGAAGACAATCTAAGTCATTTAATGGTTTAAGTCCTGATTAATTGACTTGCTTTAAAAACTGTTATTGCCACAACTTGTATTATATTTGTGATGTGTGATATTAAAATGTTATTACTCGTTTTAAAATCTTTGTCTTGGTATTGTTATGTACAAACTTATGTTTATAAATAAAGTTACCTATAATTACAGTACGTATTAGTTCTTACTGAAGATCTACTGTGCTTCCATTATCTATATATAAAGTACAAAAATTTGTGTATCTGTCTGTCTGTCTTTTATCTAACTACTCCTATGTCATTGGGCCAATCACAACCAAACTTTGTGGGGTGGTAGTTTGGATCAAGGGACGCGTTGATGGGTGGTTCAAACCCCCCCCCCCCCCCACTTATTGCTGATATCGAGCATTTATTATCCTTTGATATTAGTTAATAACTACATTCACAGATGGCGCCACTTCCTTACACCTTAAAATATAGATATACATAAAATTTTCTATAACACAACGTGGAGGAAGGCACATAGACAGCTTATATATCTTAGAGAGTGAGCTAGCACTCTCTGTGTAAAAATGTAATGAAAATATTGGCCACCCCTATTGCAATACTACATTAACCTACCTGAAGTTTCTACTCCAGTATAAGATTGACATGAAGAGTCGTTTTTGAATTATACAAACTTCCTACTTTGACCCATGACCTTTCAACTTCAGCGTGTAAGACACTTCTGTGGCCCATGATCGTCTATTAATTAATCATATGAAACACTGTAGGAGGATATTAATAGCTGGGTGTTGAAACACCCCTACTGCCACTACTTTGGCCACTATCACTTCCAGCAAAGTCACCCTGACCATAGAATAGTGTATACCATGTTTTAAGTGTATTCATATTGAGTTCTTAAAGCTTATACAAATCTTATGGTGAGGTAATAATGAATACTGTAATACTATGCTATGTTATAAAAACATTTTGTGAAACTTAAGACTTTTTCTGTTGTTTATCATAGCATCCGTTTACACATTTTTTTTTTAAGTTCATAACCTGGACAAAGGACGGGTAGCTCACTTTTGCTTACATGAAGTATATGATGCTGTCATTTGTTTCTAGAGCTGTCAAAGTATTGGTGATGAGACACCACTGTTACTATAATCCTCCTATTATATTCAGGATTTAGGTATGTCTGTTACGTTATGGGTCATATTGACCGGGTGCAATTTCAAACATACTGAAATGATATTGTTTTTACATAACTTTTATTTTGAATATTAGAAGTTAATGTAAACTCTCATTGTAATAAACATAAAGAGGAGGGTTACTTTTAAAACACTTTGAAATATCCAAACTGATATCAACTGTTCTGAATACCATATCTGAGCTCTTTACTTCTGATAGCATTTGGAAAAAGTCAATGCTCGAACTGTAGACATTTACAAAAAGTTGATAATAATAATAAAAACATTTATTGTAATACTTTGAGAGTGAATGATCATTTTATCGATGTGATAATTGTTGTTAAGACTGTCAGAATAGGTAGCCCCCAGTGACACAGTGGTATGTCTGCGGGCTTACAACGCTAGAAACCAGGTTTGGATACACATGGTGGGCAGAGCACAGATAGCCCATTGTGTAGCTTTGTGCTTAACCAGAAACAGACAAACAGAACGGGTAATATTTCTAGGGATCCTTTATTTATGTTTGGAATATATATACGAAGTGTTTACGGTACTATTTTGATCGATTTTAGTTTCATGTGTTTTAAGTAAGTTATTGTAATGCATTTTTCTGCAGATAATAAATTTCTAATAAAAATAGAACTATATGAAAGGTGCTATTTGCTTCCTGTTTTTAACTTACGTAATTCTTTTAGTTGGTTATTCACTAATTAAAAGCTTCTTTCAAGAAACTTCAGTAATATATTCGTAACTATAATCTGTATTTCTAGTACGAACCGTGCTGTTGACAACTCTCAAAGTAATGTGTAAATGTTGATTTGTTATGTTACAAATATTTTTTATAACTTTGTTATGATAATTTTATTATTCATGTAACAACTTTTTTCTGCGCGACACCATTGTTTCTAAAAAACACGAGAGAGACAACACATTTTCATTAATAAACATTTTGTGTACAGGCTGTCTTTAAAAGGTTGCACACATTTCCCAAGATACTGACTTTAAGATAAAGATGTATAGTAAAGTAAGTACTGGTCGAAAATCCATCATATTTTGTTCCATCTCATCAGTTCGGCCTAAACCAAGATTCAAGATTGTGTCCACAATATATATGTAATCTCTTGTTCTAATGCAATGCTGTTTTGTCAAGCCTGTCACCCATGGGCAACATTTAAAAATATCTAAACATTTTTTTCTGCAGTCAGAATTTGATATTTCTGAGGTGTTTCTTCCACCCTATTTTGCATGAAGTACTGGAAAAGTGTCCTACTAAACAGATGAATTAGCCATGTAGGATCATTATTCTGGGCACTGCGCTTTGCAGACGTAATATTGCTGGATTCCTTGGCTGTCGAGACATATTATGATATAAGCCCCCGTATCCAGTTATACATACCAGTCTTATGGATTTTATTAGAAAAATATTTTATACAGTTCCAAAAACTGAACTTGTCAGTGTGTTTGTGAAGTGGTCTCAGGAGGTAAGTTAAAACATGAGAGGGCATACAGACATATGTGACGTTTATGACAAGCTTTTTTAATATAACGCTTTGTCAGACCAGTCGAAGTTAATAATTCTGTATCTTAACGTGTTGTTAGTTTCGCTGGTATGGAAAATATTATTCAGATCTACTGTTAGAAACTAGATGTTCATCCTTCACTCTAAGAATTTGAAAGATCGTTTACTAGCAATAAGGTGCGTAGGCGTTAATGAATATATATAATTTTATGTTTTACCGTGTACATAAAGTGTTGTTTTTTTATGTTAAAAATATTTAAAAGAAAACTTAAAACAACTGATAAGACCAAATGGGGAAACGTAATTCATTATATCTTCAGGTGCTTCGCCCAAATATGCCTTTCATCATTGAATACAAGTTAAAATAAACAAACTGATTTTGGAGAATACAGGCAAGTACTATGCCCTTAATTTTTTATTATTTTTTTGTCAGAAGACAACAGTAAAAACCAAATATATTGTGTATCATAAGGGCCTTGAATCAGGAAAGTATTGTTGTTTACAAGAACCTTTCAAAAATACACATTTCATAATGTTCAAATATACATATTTACTTTGAAAATACAGGTAAGTATATGACCAGTACTGGGGGGTAATAGATCCCCTCAAAAATTCTATTGGCAGGATTTATAACACTCGTAAATAACAGCCATTAAAATGATAAGTAATACAAGATGTTTATATAGGGCTTGTACGAAGGCCCATTAAGTCTATATTTATTGACTTTGATGGTGTAATTTCAAATATTGCTGTTAGAAAGCTTTAGTTGATAAACTAAAGAAAAACATTCAATATTCATAGTTTTAATGTGGTATAGGATTGTTTATTTTTGATCAGTTCTGTTCTTAGTTGTTGTTTTTATATTTCTTATAAAACTGGTCTAAACTTCATGGGTCCTCATTATAATTCTCTCCAATGGGGCCACAGAAAACCTGGCACTGGCTCTGGGCAAGTATATTCTTTTTAGAACTCTAGGTGAATGAAAATAAAAATAAATATCACAAAAAGTTTGAAATAAGGAATACTTTATTCGTGCTTCTTTCATCACTGGCTCAGCTGTAAATCTGAGGGCCTATATCGCTAAAAATCGGGTTTTGATACCTGCTTAACGGCAAACAAACAAAGCTCTATTCATCACCCCAAATAACCATACATATTTTATTTTTGTTCCAGTAAAAAAATAACCCACACGAGACTTAAACTAGGGAACCTTTATTCATTATTTACAGACGGCTTACGAAAATCCGAACAAGTTGGAATAAGTTTAAAAAGCAGTAGACACAAGACATTAACCCTTACTTTTAACGCGTTAGCAGACTCATGGACAGAACATTAATTAAGTAGAACAGAATAATTAATGCTGTTATAAAAGCTGAAACCGAAAAAAGGAAACATCTGATAAGGTGAAATAGAAAGGTAATTGATGTTGATGTGTGTTTATTACATCAGTAGTTGGAACACTTAAACAATACATACAATTTGGAAACAAATTGGAGGCACACCAAATGAGGAAAGTGTACGTAACTTCAACCTCACGTGAACTATTAAACGTAAGTATTCATTTCAGATTTAATTTTTTAATTTACGAATGTGATTGTTGAAATTAAATTATTAAATGTTAATACCTCGTGCTTGGTTCTTTATTAGAAATAAGAGCAGTGCCAAGTCACTAACTAAAAGAACCTTAATCTTAAACGCAAGGTTCTAAAGAAACAGTAAGCTCCTTGGTAAGTTGCTCTTTTCTTCATCGTGGGAGCTTTGTACTGGCCCGATGTTGTAGAAGGAAGGTCAAGAACAAGAAAGATGATATATATTTATCTCATTTTATACATCATGATCTAAAAATATAACGTTAATTAGTTTATTTAACAGACGAGTGGTGTTTTTTTATGTTCTTCGTTGATCTGGTAAATCTTTAACTTTGAAGTTTTTCCAACGTCTTGGCGTCGATATCAAGGTCTGCGTAGTACTTTTCACTGTAAATAAAGAAAAAAAAGTATAATTATCAAATAAAGGGGGCGCTGAAAGCAAAGCTACATTCGTGAAGCAGGGAACTCTTTCACTGCGCAATTAATTTTTAGGCTGATAAAAGTATCAGTTTGATCCTTTGTATTACTTTTTCAATATTGAAAGAAACTTTATTTTCTATATTTGA